AATACAAAAGAGACCTCCTATAAAGTAACATCTCACTTTGCCTAAAATGTTATCAACTCATTAGAGGATAGATCAAACCTTAAGTTTTAAATTTAGTGTTTTTCTCTTTATCCCTTCATGAGTATACAGACACACACACACATACATCATCGCGAAAATAGTCGAAACGACGTCCCAAACCGTAAAAATCCGTCGAAAACTCGAGGTCGAAAAAATCATGATTTCTATACTTTCCTTATCTGTATACAGACAGGAAAATAAAAAATGTATTCTGTCAATAAATTAATTCTTTTTTAAATAAAATACATTTTAATTAAAACGTGTATGGTTCCCTATAAAATACAAATAATTATATTATGCATTAAATAAAAAATCGGGTGAAATGAAGACAGTTCTGGACCACCTTGGAAATATTTTCAAGTATTTACAAGTAGATCAGAAATTTGTTGATCTGTGCCAAAAATTACATTTAAAAATTAATAATAATTGATGGAACGATACTTTCGATAAACTTAAATTAATTTACTTACACAAGATGACTTAGATGGCCTAGTCAAAGCACCTACTTCGACAATGGCGAATAGGTGAAATGTTAACTGACTGCGCGCGATTTTTAACGATTGCTAGCGATTGCTCAGCGATTGCGGCAGATTTCGGGGAGACTGCAAGGTAATTCTGAACGACTGCGACGATTTCTTAGCGATTGCCACTGATTTTGATGGGACTGCGGCGATTTTCAATGTGATTGCGGACATTTTGTACATGTATTGCGGGAGTGATTTGCCCCTCGATCTCACCGTAAAAACAGATTTTTTAAAAAAAAGTTTAGTTTTGGATATACAGACCGAGGCGTTACCGGTGGACCACCCTGTATATCTAGAATAGAATTAAATAAACAACAACACCATAGTTAACCAACTGGCGAATTGGCGCTGTTCGTTAACTCCGTTGGTCATCAACCTAAATCAGAATATAAACAACAACACTATAGTTAATCAACTGGCGAATTGACGCTGTTTGTTAACTCTGTTGGTCATCAACCTAAATAAAATATATATTGATAGCAAATGAATATGGTCTGCATTTGAACGGGACTCAAGTGAGATCTCAGTAAATAGTAACAATTGTAATATACTTTGCTAATTACTGCATCACATTTAAAGTATGAAAAATAAAAAGAGTTTAAATATGAATCTGTATGTTTTATTTATCAATTTGTACCAAACTTTTCATCGAATTCTGGTTTACCTAAATTAACATTATCACAACGTGGGTATATAAATTATCAATTAATTAACTAGACGATCACTTTTACTACTAGAGGAAAAAGGCCAAATACAGTAAGTATAGAATTTAAAATAAAGTGAAGTAAAACTTGTGAAATAATTAATAACATTTCAAAGAGAGTAAAGTAAAATAACTAAACAAATCAAAATAATAAGAGGGGTAGGGGGAGGGCCGTCACAATAATAACACTCGTTGTGTATGTCCGATTTTAGTTTTATTTAAAATTATCTGTCTTGTTACTAAAAATTAATTAATTTCTCTTAACATTTAATTCTATATCTTACCTCTATAAGTTTAAGGTCTTCTGTGCCTGGGATTAACTTTTTCCATCATAATAGATGTTTCTTCATACACAGTAAGAAGTGTTCGTTTGAGATTCCCCTTGAGACTCTACTGAGTTGTTTCTATATCTTCAGGTGTTTTGAAGCCTGACAATATGAAATAAACTAGACTCATTTCTCTTGCAGTTCTTAGTCGGACAGTTTGGAACATTGATATAATCATTTAACCAACTTCAATTAAGTCTTTCGAAAAACATCAAGAACTTCTGGGAGCGCCGTTACAATTAAAATACATTCTGTTTAACAAATTAGAAAATAAAAATGTGACAATAGGTTAGGTATACACATACATATTGATAGGAAATTACTAGAGTGATCCACAAAAAATGTTTCTAAAGTGCGGCTATATTAAATATAAACTTACATTTAAAAAAGAAGAATTGTACGATAGACGTGAAATTCCTACTTTAGAAACATTTTTTATGAGGATTATTTTTTATAAAGGAAAATGCATGAAATCAATAACGTTTAAGGACATGTACCAACTAGAAATAATTGGAGACAAATGCAGGCAGTTCCAGGAACGTTCATTAAAATTTATAAGATACAATTTAGAAGACAAAATTTACAAGATAAAATTAACAAGATGAAATTTACAAGATAAAATTTGATCGATGTTTAGACTGTGAGCAATTTAAAGTTTACGTCTTCGGACAGGACACATTATCAAACGTGTAAGCTTATAAGGCTCACACATTTTAATGAACATTCTTGAAACCGGCAGATGATCTTTTAAATTTAGAAGTTTGTGAAGAATGAAATTTTTATATTAAAAAAGAATAGCTTCACCGGAGGACTTACTAAAATAGTAGCCATACCCGATTATACCACAAATTTTTAGAAAAATCCTATATTTTTACGATTTATACACATCATTTATAATTTTTTTTTTTTTTTTTTTTTTTTTTTTAGTTTTTGATATTCTTTTTTTATTATGATTTACAGAGATTTTGTGTGGGGGAGGGCAGACTATTATTATTTGACGTAATAATAAAACTAGTACTAAAAAAGACATAAACAAACTTCCAAAAGCTCGACAAGTTATAATAAACTGTAGTTTTATTTGAAAAAGAAACTAGGTAGAATATCAAAAACTAAAATAGTAGTGATTGGATTTGAATAACTTATTTTTTTTTTTTTCATTTAAAAATCGAGTTAAGACCTACCTTGAAATTAATATAATTCAGAAACATCGTATACAGGGCATCCCATTAAGCTTAATTCCTCGATATTTCAATTTTTGCTATAGATACACCAAGTTTCAAATAAATGTGAAAATGGCATACCAACTTTAGTTTAAAAATATGTTTAATGTTTAAATTACAGATTTATAAGATACCAAGCTAACGAGTAGTGATGATAGCACCGACTTATTTTGAACGGAGTGTTTTGAAACCTGTCATAAATATAACTAATTTTAAATTCATTTTACTTAATTTTTTCAAATTATACAACTTATATATTATTTTGGCATTAACTTCGTTATGAATTTATCTAACCAACGATACCAACATGTTAGCCTATGATTTAGCTGTTTTATTATTGGAGAAACAAAGAAATTTTGAATACAAAAGTTGTACGGTCATATTTTACAATTATTCTTAAATATACAGGGTAGACCATAATTGGGGATCGAATCAAACTAATACTTTTTTAAATCAAACACCCTGTAGCTCAATAGATTTGATTGTTTTCACATCGTCAAACAATGTTAATAGACTTAATGTTCCTAAAAATGTTTTGCTATTTAATTCATTCGCTATGTGCATCAAAACGCGAGGTTACAATATTTTCAAGTCTAATATCCTGTATGTAAGAGCATAATATGTGATTCGAATCCTTTTTGAGGATCCGAGAACAATATTCGAACAAAGAAAAAAAAGGACCCGTGATCCGGATTCGCCGAGGAAATCCTAAAGGATTCGTATTCGAATCATTGTCTCGGATCCTTTTAGAGATAGAACTACGCCGGCGCGAACGGTCGACTAGCGTCTATTTCTTGTGCTCTACAAATGAACCTGCTTCTGTGGCGCCATCTAGTGAAGTAAGGTGAAGTGATAACGACAGCTGTTCAGTTCGTTTGTGCTTGTTAATTTGTTATGTGTTCTGTCAAATTTGAAAATATAATTGCAACGTTGCCGGATTGTGATAAAATTAGTAGTTAATGGAAAATTGTGATTGCCCATACCGGTCCATAAATATGCAACAAGAAAACGAAGCAACGACTTATCGTAAGGTGGCGACCGCCACCAAAAAACATCAACCCATACCTGGCTGCGCCGACCGGCATAGACTCCAACGGCCTGGTCACAGCTCAAATTGAATAAATGAAATGAAAAGTCTTAAATAAACACATTTATATTCTGGTTTTATCATCTGGCCTGGAGCTATTGAAAAAACAGCCACTGTCATTCCTGTTATGTACGTTCTTTTAATATGTTTGACAACTCCACATTTATAGAAATAAAAATATCAGTTGTCATATTATTTATAAACAAAAAATAATATAGAACGGTATTACCATGAATATATTTATTTAGAACAAATAACAAAAAGCAATTGGCAACATCGCTAAAATCACGCACATGCGCTCTTAGTGTGACTGTCAAATCGAAAAAATTAATTGAAGGTCAATGCTGGGTTCATTTGAAGAGCACCAGAAATAGACGCGCTAAAGACTTAAGCTTTGACTTGTCGCGAAGTGTAAACTGAAAGAGACTGAGACTGAAGACCCATTGTGAATATTTAGAAGATAAACGTAGTAATCTACAAATTATGATGGTGGGTGGGATTTTCCTCACCTGCAAGTCAAATGGCACCATCTTTAAGTCGCCCCGGAGCGCCACGGCAAATAATAATAATATCCGTCCCTTTCCCCGGACAAGCTTAGCTTTTGGGTTAGAATTCACTCGTAAAGGGGTGAATTAGAGAGAGTATTATTATTATTATTATTATTAGCAATGAATATCCAACATAAAAATCCTAAAATTGAACACTTGCCTTCCTTAGTCTGGTGCAGTCGAACAACTGGCATATGGGGGTAAAGGGGTATAAGTCGAAAATATTCAAAATTGAGTTAAATCTGCCACGATACTTCTAAACTCATTTTGTACTTCTGGGAAAAGGGATATAAGTAATGGGAAAAAGGGATATAAGTTAAGCCTCACAAAATTTGGGTATTTAAAAAAACCGTTATTCAAACGCGAATATTAAAACTTTAAACTCAGTTTACCATAATTGTTGATTTGTTGATTTAGGACATATACCCCCCCCTTTACCCCCCCTTTACCCCCCCCCCCTTTACCCCCCCCCCCCTTTACCCCCCCCCCCCCCCCCCCCCCCCCCCCCTTTACCCCCCCCCCCCCCCCCCCCCCCCAAGTACCAATTATTTTTTTTTGCAGGTATAATCGACGCACCTCGAAGGAACGGCCCGACAGAAGAACATTTTGAAATTTTGGTGCTATGTAAAACCAACCATAAGACAAGCAAATGAATGAAAATCAAAAACATTTTTAGGAACGTTAAGTCTATTAAAAAAACTACCCAGTGGCGTAGGGTAGATTTTATCTACCCGGGACAGATGCTACATTTGTCGACCTTCTATCATTAATTAGTTTTTATTTTATAAAATCTGTCGCTCCTTTCAAAGTGCCGCCCAAGGCAGGTGCCTTCTGCCCCCCTACGCTACACCACTGTAACCACTTATAATGTTTAATTTAAACAAATATAAGTTTAGTTCGTCCCTCATTTATGGACTACCCTATATATTTAGAATACATTTTAAATGTGATCATCATAAATAATAAGCTAACATGTTGGTATAATTGGATAGGTAAATAACAAATTTATTGTTAATATAAATTTGAAAACATTTGGTAAATTGAACTTAAAATTAGCCATTTTATAACAGGCTTCAAAACATTCGGTATAAAATAAACCAGTTTTATCATAACTATTCGTTAGCTTAGTACCACATAAGTCTGTAATTTAAACAACTTTGAAATCATTGCAAACCTACTTTTATTATGATCATTTTATTCTCTAATTTCACAAAAAATGAACTACTTTGCAAAGCTGTAATTTTTAAAATATGAATGGATTAAATACAGTATTACTAACCATTCTAAAAACTGAAATAAAATCATACATTTTTATTTACCAAACAAAGATGTAACACCCTGTATATACAAAAATATTTTTAGAATATGCCTTTTTCAAATCCATAATACTTTTATTGAAACATGTTTGAGAGTCTATTGAAATTGAAATATCAAACAATTACTCACTAATGGGACTTTCCATGAAAAGTAATTTTCGGACTAGTCCGACGGCGGAATGGGACATTTCGACGCAGCCGTTTTGACGCGGCCGTTTCGACGCGAGGACATTTCGACGCCGGCCGATTCGACGCCGGGCCGTTTCGACGCCAAATGTAATTTTTTTTAAGTAGGTAATAAATTATTCTAAAAAAATATTTGAAATGTCTATTTTTTGCAGATCTATTCTTTGTATATAATTGGGTAATTTAACTTGTTCCTTAAATATTCGCAGTAAGCATTGATAGATAGCTGCAGTAAACATGTAACCATTAGCTGGCTTATGTTCTCATTTCTATGAAAGACATAAAAAATTAATCCCTAAAAATTAGGTACCTAAAAAGATTTTTAATGAATTACCTAAATATTAATATTGATACATAATATTATATTAAGTAGTTTATTAACCTATTTTAGGTATCCGATCCTAGTTAGATTATACAGTTAATTTTTGATCTTAAATGTCGATAATTCATTTCCATTACAATATATATATTTACCGATTTTAAAGGACTCAAAACACTGGTTTGTTGATGGGACATTTAAACCAACTGCCTCAATTTTTTACCTACATAATTATAAATAAATAATTTGGGGGAGTTCATCCTGTTCTTTATGCTCTCCTGCCCAAAAAACGACAAACTACATATGCCCGAATGATTGGTATGGTGGGACATTTACAGCCAGCTGCAAATCCAGAGAAGATATCATGCGATTTTGAATTGGGTGCCATAATCGCGTTCAAAGAAGAGTTTCCAAATGCGGAGCTGCTAGGCTGTTTTTTTTTTAATTTGGTGAAAAATATAAAAAAACATTTGGTGCAAATGAATTTGCTGGGTCGATATAATACCGATGCTGATTTCAGTCTTTATGCACGAATGGTGACATCTTTGGCATTTGTTCCTGATGAAGACATGGATATTGCAATTGAGCATTTATTTTGAGAATTGTCTAACGAGTTGCAACCTCTAATAGAATGGTTCGAGGACTCATACGTAGGACGTCCTCAACGACAGAGTCAAAGAAGGCGCAATCCATTCTTTCCGATCACATTGTGGTCTGCATACAACCGCGTCTTGGAGGGTACAGACAGAACGAACAACCACACCGAAGCTGAACACAGACGACTTGTCCATGTCCATAGATAATCCAACGATATGGAAATTTATAAAACATCGCGATTGTGACGAGAGGATTTTAAAAATTATTATCGATTATAAAAATAGAAATATAAACGAATATTTAAAAGCAATATCATATAATTATTATATTATGCATTCTTAATAATAAAATTAAAAGAGACATTCAAATATATTATTTTGTATGAATTATTACCTATCTAAAACAAATACAGTTGGCGTCAAAACGGCCCTGCGTCGAAATGTCCTCGCGTCGAAACGGCTGCGTCGAAATGGCTGCGTCGAAACGTCCTAGACCGGTCCGACAGACATGTCAGGAAAAGTAATATAAAGTAGTGAAAAGTCACAATGAAAAGTAGTTGACCTTGAATATAGAAAACACAGTTAAATGTTTGTCCATCCTGGATGTTTTCTCGAAAACACTTTGTGACCAACATTTTCATTTGTATTTTCTTTTTTTAGGCAAATCATTTGTAACATATTTCCAACCTTTGGATTTTTTTGGAAATTTTACCTTTATTTGTAAGAAATTCAGACAATTTAGTTAATTTAATATCGCGTATGTGCACTTTTAAAAAGTGTGTTTTGACTAGTCAACTTTTCAGACTAGTCCGTCGGGCTTGTCTATGAACTTTTCCAAGCAACCCATCACTAATATATACAATATACAGGGTGTTTCAAAAAGATTGGTCATAAATTATACCACATATTCTTGGGTCAAAGTACTTACTTATATACAAAAGTGCACCCAAAAATAGTTACAGGGTGTATAAGATAAAAATTTAAAAAAAAAATTTTAACGTTGCTCTTAAACCGTTCGGCATTTTTTTATGAAATTTTATATGACATGTTAGAATACCATGACTAATAATATCGAGGAAGAGGCAATATTTTTTCTTGATTTTTATAGGTTTTTGGAGGGGGTCACCGCTCTTTTCTCCAATCAACTTTTTTGTAGTATAAAATTTAATTACAAGTGAAACGCCACTGGAACGCAACATCTATTTGGAAATTTTTTTGTCTCTTAGTATTTGTTTGTAAAAAGTTTAGTTTAGACGATACAGCCATTTGAAATGACAACTTAAAAATTATCAATGTAAATTCTACATATGAAAAATATCAAAATCAAGTTTATTTTTAAATTACAAACTAATGTCATCAAAATAAAAAAAAATTAATTTAACAGGTGTTTATAATTACATTCTTCTCCTGTACACACTTACTACATAGTTTTAACAATGAAAATCGAATTTTGATATTTTTGCATACGTATAATTTACATTGAATATTTTTAAGATGTCATTTTAAGTGGCTGTATCGTCTAAACCAAACATTTTACAAACAAATACTACAAGACAAAAAAGTTTCCAAATAGATGTTGCATTTCAGTAGCGTTCGATTTTTAATAAAATTTTATATTACAAAAAAGTTGAGTAGAGAAAGGGGCGGTAACACCCTCCAAAATCCTACAAAAATAAAAAAAAATATTGCCTCTACCTCTATTTTGTTAGTCATGGTATTCCAACACGTTATGTAAAATTTTATGAAATAATGTCAAACGGTTTAAGAGCAACGTTAAAAAAATTAATTTAAATTTTTATCTTATACACCCTGTAACTATTTTTGGGTGCGGTTTAATCGACCTATTTTTGACCCAAGAATACGTGGTATAATTTATGACCAATCTTTTTGAAACACCCTGTATATACATTTAATACAAAAATTGATTTCAACAAAATTGCATGAATTATTAAAACAAATCCATCTATAAAAGCTGCTGACCCTTTCTTTCTTTTACACAAATAGTGGTGAAATTCAGGTAGAGCCTTCCCTGTTTTTGTTGTACCGTCTTCCAAGAGACTGGGTCCATGGAAATGAAAAGCTTCTGTCCTTTTGGAAGTACCTTACTTCCGATGACTTTCCAATTTTCCATTTTGATTCCCGGATTCTGAACTTTTAATCTCGCCATCAAGCTTTCCGGTTCCCCAGCGTGTCCAGGTATCCATGCCATTGTTTCTATTTGTTCGACATCACGATAACTTCTAAGTTTCAGTCTGGCACCATCCCATGGAACTATATCTCTAACAGTCCGTTCGACCCATGCCTTAGTTGTTCGATCAAGACAAGATAGGATCAAACTGCCGTTTTTCACTATTCCTTTGGAGAACCTGGGTGCAGGTCCTCCTTCATTTATATCTTCTAACCTTTCAAGTAGAGCTCGCCTTATTAGGTTTCCCTGCTCTAGAGTTATAGAGGTATTGGAGTAGTCATCTAAAATTATTTCCGCATCCAATTCTCTTACCCTTGGTGTACGTGACCTTGTCCTAAATTTTGTTTTTAACTGTCTGTGTCTTCGTTCTTGTCGTTTCGACAGGCAGGTATCTGTACAGATTCTATTGGAATCACCCGTCTGTTCCTGATTCACGGAAACAGAGATTACTTCGTCAGCGGGGTCAGATATCCATGCCATTGTTTGCATTTGTTCGACGTCTTCACGATAATCTCTAACTCTCAGCCTGGCACCATCCCATGGAACTATCTTTCTAACAGTTCGTTCGATCCAGTCCTTAGTAGTTTGATCAAGACATGATAGGATCAAACTGCCATTTTTCACCATACCTTTGCAGAACCTGGGTTCATATTCTCCTTCATTTATGTCTTCTAACCTTTCGAGCAGAGCTCGCCTTATTAAGTTTTCCTGCTCTAGAGTTATAGAGGTATTGGAGCAGCCATCTAGAATTATTTCCACCGCCAAATCTTTTACCTCTGGTGCATATGACCCCGAATCAGAAAATTTGGTGCTTTTAAACTGTTCGTTTGTTTGTTTTTGTCTTTTCGACACGTGGGTATCTGCCCAGATTCTCTTGAGCCCACCCGACTGTCCCCGATTGACGAAAACAGAGTTTGATTCGCCAGCGCGTTCAGGTATCCATGGCATTGTCTGCGCTTGTTCGACATCTTCACGATAATTTCTAACTCTCAGCCTGGCACCTTCCCATGGAACTATCTTCCTAACAGTTTGTTCGACCCATTCTTTAGTTGTTTGATCAAGACAGGATAGGATAAAACTGCCGTTTTTCACTGTACCTTTGGAAAACCTGGGTTGATGTCCTCCTTCATTTATGTTTTCTAACCTTTCGAGCAGAGCTCGCCTTATTAGGTTTTCCTGCTCTAAAGTAATATCGGTATTTGAGTAGTCATTTAAAATTATTTCCACCTCCAAATCTTTTACCATTGGTGAATATGACCCTGAACTAGCGTTAGCTGTGTTTCCGTATTTTTCTGATTCTCTGTATATTGCTGCTCCTGAGGTACTTGCACTTGACTCCATCCAGGCCTTCATCGTTTTAAAATAGAATTCACGGTCCTGTTCGACCGGTTCAGTCATCGGTGAATACCTGCTGGCCCTGCTCGTATCAATGGTTCTAAAACAGGCTACCTCTTCAGCATTACCTTGGCTCGCCGGTTGAGAAGTGCTATATCTTACTGTTCCTGAGGTACTGAGTCTTGATTCCCTCCATGAGTCCATGGATGAGTCACAATAATGTGCGGACCGCGGTCCCTCTGATCCAGCAGTTCGCGGATACATGATAGCTCCGCTTGTATCAGTGCTTCTGAGACGTGCCTCTTCATCCGCATACAAAGTTGTTGAAAAGGGGGTGTTATCTTGGTTCATCGGTTCAAAGATACTATACGTGGCTGTTGCCGAGGAAGAAGGCCTTAAATCACTTCTCGACTGCGTGGAATCATAATAGTATGCACGTTCTTTTCCCTCTGGTTCAGTAGTTCTTGGATACCTATTGGCCCAGCTTGCACCAGTGTTACTCAGGTAGGCCTCCTCCCTAGCATATTTATATGCGGGAAAAGAGGTATTACTTTGGTCCTCTGGTTCAAAAGACCAGTATCTTGCTAAGTCTGAAGACACGAGACCTGATTCCCGCCTTGTTTCATTCATGGGGATTGCATGTTCAGTAGTTCTCGGATACCTATGAGCCCCGCTTGCACTCAGTCCGTGAGATTCAGAGGGTTCATTAGTGCATTTTTGTTGATATTTGCGAAGCTTCCTCTGCTTACGACGAAAAGATCGCGACGTTATATCATTTTGGCACGTGTTAGTCCTAGTAGTCATACTTGTTCCAGTGGTTCTGCATCTCGCCACTTCCTCCGAATCTAACGACGCAGAAGAACAATCGTTTCGTCGTACCTCCGGTTCAAAGGTGGCATTAAAATGTGCTTGTTGTGATTCGCGAAGTTTTTTCTGTTTACGTTGAAAAGCTCCCGATTTTCTTTTGCGATATACGTTAGCCTCTGTGTTTCCAGAGGTGCTTTTAGTGCATGTTTCTTGCGATTCGCGAAGCCTTTTCAGCTTCCGCCGAAAAGCTCCCGATGTTCTTTTTTGAATTGTTTTCCCTTTATTGTCATTAACTATTTCCATCATGAGTCCCACGAGTAGCTAGGGAAAAATTCATCACTCCTGACAGAGCCCCGCATTATCAGGAGAGGACTGCTTACTTGGAGGTGTCGTCTGGTGCCCCCAAGGGAACGTTCGCGACCGCAATTACCCCTGCGATCATTCATCCCTCGGCACGTTGCCTTACACCTTAGATTCGGGGGAGTTGGTCCGCGGCGGTAGCTTTCGCAAAGGCTTTCGCCCCACTTATGACTACCACTGACCAAGGAAATACCCTGGCCGTTCTCCTATCCGCCACCCGGAGACGCGCCCGGTTGGCACTCAACCATCGGGTATCACACGATAAAACCAAAATAATTATTATGGTGATATTCTGTAAGGAACTTGTTACAATTAAACAGTTTCTAAGTATGTTATTAAATATTTTATAACTAAACGTTTCTTTACTTGCTACATGCTGTTAATTAGCATTGATAGTTAAAATAACATCATCACTAGATAACATGTTATTAGAAAACAAAGAATTTTGTGATTTTTTCCAGAAGCTATTAACTTTAGACCTATAATTATTTTACATCCTTTAGAAAAAGTACTAGAAATGGCAAGCTTATAAACCAACCTGGCTTTCGTGCAAAACATTCGTGCGAAACCGCTCTTCAGTTGACGTTGAGTAAGTGGAAGTTAAAGGTTGATGAAAACAAATATATTTTATCTGTAATTTTAGACTTCAAAAGAGCTTTTGAAACCACTGACATTAATCTACTCCTCAAAAAATTCAAATATGGTTTCACAGATAGGGTGCACTCATGGTTTAAAGGCTATAGGCATCTGATAATACCACTCTTTTAACAAATGATTTTAAAGAACATGAACATTAATTCCCAGCATTTTAAATAATGCTGTTCAGTCACCACTAAAGATGGAATTGTATTATTTTGAAATTAGTTTTAAATATGACTGTTGTGAACAATTGTATATTAAACTTTTTGAAAAGAATGAAGAATCAATGATTTTATCAATACAGCAGTCAAAAGCATGGTATCATCAGAGAAAATTTCGTGTTTTTTTTGTTTTTTTTTCTGATGTTGATAATAATAACTATACCTAATACAAACTCAAATAATAAAAAAACAGCGATATTGGCTCTTGTACAAAGTTTTGATCCAAACTTACATATAATGAAATTATTGGAAAAAGTGAACATCCATTTTAAATTACCACAAGCCGCCACTCATTATGAACCCTGTTTTTTTTTTTTTCTCCTGGGCTCGTCTGACTATGTGTCTCCGAATAATACTGAAGCCTATTGGCTTATTGTGTTTTACCCCATGTTAGTTCATAGCACCCACTCTATCACCTTTGTACCTTGTACAAGTTTGTACAGATCCTTGGGTGAGTGGGTTCTATAAGTTGTTGGATCAACCTGGGGTTGTCCAAAAAGAGCCTGTCTTTTGCGATCTAGAGCTTCGCATTCGCACAGTATGTGTTTGGCCGTTTCTGGTTTCTTGTGACATAGTGGGCACATGAGATTCCCATTGTACATGCCAATTTTGTTCAAGTGTCCCTTTACTGGGGCGTGCCCAGTCGTGAACCCTGTTATCACTTTCAACTGGTTCCTATTCATTAAGAGTAGTTCTCCAGTTCTTTTGGGACATGGTCTGCCTATGAAGGCTTTTCCATGTGCCTGTTTTGGGGTGCTTCCCCAATAGTTGATATGTTGTTCCCGAATCCAGTCATTTATAAAACCCCGGACTGTACTTTTTGGTACTCCTGGGTTTGTGTCTGATTCCGGTGTTTCTTCTGACCCTCTTTTTGCAAGTTCGTCAGCCTTTTCGTTGCCTTCGATCCCTTTGTGACCTGGCACCCAAAATAGTTTTACTCTATTTCGGTCTGCCAGTGTTCTTAGTTCTTCGATGCATTCCCATACCAGCCTCGACGTAACTTTCTGACTCGATATGGCCTTAAGTGCCGCTTGGCTGTCTGACATTATTTGAATATGCTGATTTTCGGCAGCTCTTTCATTGTTCGTTTTTGCACATTGCAAAATTGCGTATACCTCGGCCTGAAATACCGAGGAATGTATTCCTATAGCATAGCTATGGTTAGTATCAGGGTTTTTGGAGAATACTCCTGCCCCAGTGCCTTCCGCAGTCTTAGACCCGTCTGTATACCAGGTTTGTTCCTGTCGTTGGGCATTGGGCTCCCTTATGGTGATCTCCGCTCTTTCCTGTATTAAAACCCCAAAGGGAGTATTAAACGAGTACCTCTTGGTTATGTGGTCTGATCTTATGTCTAGCACGTCTCCTGTCACTAACCTTGAGATATTCATGTGACCTGGCCTAATGTCAAGATTTCCCAGTGTATTCCCTAATCTGTAAGCACCTAATCTTGCCTCCCCTTGTATCACATAGTGAAGAGGTGGGAGTCCTATTAGTGCTTCCATTGCAGCAGTGGGGGTTGTTTTCATTGCCCCCGTTATTCCGAGTCAGGCAAGTCTTTGTACCTTGCTTAGCCTCGTTATTGCTTTCCTTTGCTGTGTCTTTGGCCACCACACCAAAGCTGCGTATGTTATTATAGGTCTCACCACCATGTTATAAAGCCAGTATACCATGTCTGGTTTTAACCCCCATTTTTTCCAAAGGATCAGTATTATGGCCAAATACAGTTGGGTGTGGCCATTAGTCTAATTAACAAGTGCTTTTTAAGTCAACCTTTTTTCTCCGCCTACGAAAAATATGAATAGCGTGTAGATGACTTTTGAAAAAATTCAAAAGCCGCTTGCAAAAATTGCAAAAGTTATAAACAATTAACAAAAAAAAATTGGGTTTGGTATTTTGAAAATATCACAAAAACTATTTCGACATTTTCCAAATTTGAAAAAAGATTCAAAAAGAGGAGGAAATTTCCCAAAAAAAAGTCCTATTACCAGAAACTGTAGGACCAATATTTATAATTTTCCCAGAGGGTCGAAAATACGGACGAAATTGGAGACTCTGGTTTGCGTAAGCTTCGCCCACTGTGAACTTTTAATGAATAAATATTATTTAAACTTATTAAGAGCCCCGCATACGGCATCCATCTCTTTTTATCGAAATAAATAATATCAACTGAGAATACATTGAAAAAGTTGTTTGTAAATTGGGATACGCGTATATAAATACGGTAAAGAAGCGAAGCGACGCACACTGGGGCAACAAGCCCTCAAACTTGGCAATAAATAAAAAAATTAAATAGCATATTTATTTATTTATTTATTTAATTTCAAACAGGCATTTAGCCTAATTACATGAAATTTACAAAATTAAATAGTAAAAGTTTTATATATATTATCGACTGTACAAAGATAAATTAAGGAGAACAAGACGGTACACATTTATGAGAACTGTTCTAAGTAAAATTTTAAAACTCTATTTTTAAATTGCGTATGACCCAATGAAAAATCTAAGTCAGTTAAAACGCTGATTTCGTTTGCGGTTCTAAGCATAGAAGATATGGGAGAGCGGGCTGTACAGGTTAACGTAGAGGAGGTTATTCTGAATAGATGAGGAGATCTGATTCCACATATTGGAACATTAAAATTAATTAAATTTAGAATATAGGGATCATAAATAGCTCCATTAATTACTTTGTGTAAAAATGATAATAAATTTATATTTATTCTCGAGGATAGATGATTAATTTTAAATAATTTACTTAAATCGGTAGTTCTTGTTACTGTATAATCCGGCCAAATATTATGTTTTTTGTAATAATAAAAATATATTTTGAATTTTTTCTATTCTAATTAGGTATACGGCTGGCTGTGATTGCCAAATAATAGAGGCATTTTCCAAAATTGGTTTGACAATTGTGAAAAATAAAATTTTGATTGCATTTAAATTTGAAAAACATTGTGTATTTCTCATTACAAAGCCTAATGCCCTATTGCCCCTACAACAAACTTCTTCAAAGTGCTGTGCAAAAGACAAAGTCGAATGATAGCTTACTCCTAAATCTTTTACTTCATAATTTCTTCTAAGACTTTCTGTTTGCATAATATAATCAAATAATATCAAATTTCTTTTATAAGTAAAGGTTATTACGTTACATTTTTACTTTCCTATCTGTATACAGATATAAGGAAAGTATAGGAATCATTTTTTTCGACCTCGAGTTTTCGACGGATTTTTACGTTTTGAGGTCCCCTGAATCCGTTTTGACTATTTTCGCGATGATGTCTGTGTGTGTGTGTGTGTGTGTGTGTGTGTGTGTCTGTGTGTGTGTCTGTGTGTGTGTGTGTGTGTGTGTGTGTGTGTGTGTGTGTGTGTGTGTGTGTGTGTGTGTGTGTGTGTGTGTGTGTGTGTGTGTGTGTGTGTGTGTGTGTCTGTATAACGCATAACTCATGAACCGATACACGGAAAAACACCAAATTTTAAACTTAAGCTTTATTCCAGCGTCTAATGAGCTGATTAGATTTTGGGCAGAGTCGGAACATCTGGGGGGGTACTTTATAGGTGGTCATTTTTATATTTTATGGAATATATCTGTTATTTACGTTTGGGGAAGAAATTTTTTCAAATAAAAGTTACTTCTTATTTTATTATCTATAATTTTTGTCATTTACAAAATTTTCCTAAAATGGTCCGTATTCGAGAAATTTGACAAAATGTAAAAAAATATTTTTTTTTATAAAAATTGTTCAAACAAAAGTTGTTTGTAATATAATTCTCTATAATTTTTGTCCCATAGATAATTTCTCTAAAATGGACCGTATTCGAGATATTTGAGAAAATGTGTAAATTTCGAAATTTGAAGAAAACTCAAAAACGGATAAAGAAAAAATCAATAAATTTTAAACTTAAGTTTTATTTCGGCCTGACGTGAACTGATTAGATTTTGGACAAAGTCGGAACATCTGGGGGGGTACTTTATGGGAGGCCGTTTATATATTTTATGGAATATATCTGTTATTTATGTTTGGAGAAGAAAATTGTTCAAATAAAAGTTACTTCTAATATTATTATCTATAATTTTTGCCTTATGTAAAAATTTCCTGAAATGGTCCGTATTCGAGAAATTTGACAAAATGTGCAAAGTTCTGATTTTTATGAAAATTGTTGAAATAAAAGTTGTTTGCGATATCGATCTCTATAATATTTGTTCATACATGATTTTTTTTAAATGGACCGTAATGGAAAAATTGTAGGAAAAGTGCTAAATTTTAATTTTTCAGTATTTTCATTTTCAATGAATATCTATAGAAAAATGTTTCGCGGTAGATGTATGTGGACAATGTATATATATTTAGTTTATCCTCTAAACATTTATAGAGATGCTGCAATAGG